TTGTATGTATAACTTGGTCATACAATTGCATGGCAGACCCAAGTGAGGTTTTTGAGCAACTTTATTCATGTCTTCTGCAGTCCCTTTCAGCCTTACTGAGTCAGAATTAAAGAAGCTGACCATCTGAAATGAGAAATGCCTTCTTGGCTTTGTGGGCAAGCTGTGGAATTGCTCTCCTGACAAATCTGTCAGCAAAGCAGTGTTCCCCTCTGATTAAACAATTGAGTGTAGGTTGAAGATGAACTAGGCCAAAGAACATCTGAAGGGGTGACTGTCAGAGTGATGGAATCCTCTCATATTCGATGTTCCAGGCCACAGTGCGGAAAGCCTTAGCTCTGACCTTGTTTAGAGAAGAGATACCTAAGGGAATATCTTGAGAGGAGAATGCTGCTCTGCTAGTGCCAGGTCTGCATGCTTTTCAGCTTCTGGTCAGTGGGAAGAGTTTTGATCTCACCCTTTGCTCTCCTCAGCTGCAAACAGCATGCTGAACACAAGGGACTTCCGTTCTGTGGATCATCGCCTGAAGCTGTACCTGGATATGGAGGTTTTTGAGGAGAATGATGAGGAATTCCAGTGCTTCCTCAAGGTGAGCTCTGGTAGCTCCTCTCCTGCGGCCTCTGGGCAGCCCTGCTGCTAGGCTATGCTAGGTGTGCTGCAAGTTCCGCTCAGAGGTGGTCTGGAGACTGAGGGGTGCAAAGGAATCTGAAGCATGTCTGGGTCAGCTCTTTCCATGGGTGGACTGGGAAGAGGCAGGCCAGTACTATCACTTGTCCTCTCTGTGCTCTAGGTGACCATTGTGAAGTTTGGTCGACAAGGAGAGTTCCTCTCAATTCTGGTTGCCTCTAACCTCAGGATCTATGTGCTGGAAGTTACGGGGGTTATCAGGTGAGGAGAATGGTGGCGAGTGAGACCTTGCAGCAAAGCTGTGAGTGCTGGGTAGTGCCTCCTCTGCCAGCCTTACCTGAGAGGTGTGGTGACATGCAGAGGCTCTTCTGGTAAAGCCCCCTGCTGCAATCTGTTGTGGGAAAGGAGGTGGGGGCACCCTGCTGCTGCTGAGGGCCGTGCTCTGTGATTAGGGGACAACCTGCAGACTGGCTGAAGAAGGATGACTCTCACTACCTGTCTGATATTTCCCATCTGGAAGTGGGACTTTGCCACCAGAGCTTGCGAATGGAGTTTGAGAACCCAAAAGCCTCCTACAATCTGCTGATCCGGAGCCAAAGTTGCTGTGACCAGTTCCTGCAGACCCTGACATGTAAGAGTGGATTCGTAGCAGGGGGGTGGGAGAGGATTTTCTCCAGGAGAGCTATAAGGAAATTTGAAGTTGGATGTATGTTGGAAATTCACATCTTGGTAGCTCAGAAAAAAGTCTGGGGGAGAACCCCACTGATGTCATGAATTCCAGTGTCTCTCTATGGACTGGAGAACTCTCCTGAGTTGTTACATACTGCCCCTGGGCTTGCAATGAAAGATGTCTACCTTCTACCCATCTTTAGATCTTATGCAAGAGCTGCCTGCAAAGAAAAGGAGTAAGGTGAAGGAAATCCCCACTGTGGAAATGAATTCTCAACATTGGCTGTGGTAAGAGCAGTCTCTGAGAGACTGGGGGTTTGGGTAGAAAAGGACATCTGCTAGTCCAGCAGTGCCTGGGAAGCTCAAAGCAGGGCAGCAGGGGCACAGCAGGAGTGGCTGCCAGATACGTGCAATAGGCTTATGGCAACTGGCTCAGGTCTCTGCTGCACAGGGGTGAGCAGGCAAAGGGGTTTCACTGGAGTTGCTGAGCAAGGCAGTGCCTCTTTGAGAGTTCTACTGTTGTATCTCCTCCAGGCCTCTGCTGGATTCCAGGAACACAGATTCTGCAGCTGCAGGTGGCACTTGTTTCTTCTACCTGCTGGCCTACCTGATTCAAGGTACAGAAGATCTCAGTGGCTAGATCTACCACGCCTTGTGTTTTCTTCTTAGGTGCTTGTCTTTTTGGTTTTCAGCATGTGGAAATGCAGCTGGGCCATGGCTTCACCAGCAAGATGTGGCAGGGGAATGGCTGAAAGCCTTTTAGTGCTGAGATATAGGACTCAGATCTGAGATATAGGATATAGGATATAGTAGTATGCTTCTTCCTATACATCCACTGAATCTCCTAGCCCTTTTCTACTCAACGTCCAGACTCTAGGGAGCATTTTGTCCTGTGCACCAGATTTGGTGAAAGCTTAGAATGGCTTCTTAGAAGCTGGTGGTGATCCAAGGGTTGTATTACTGCCATGAGCTCAGGGGTCACACACAGCTGGTAAGGTGTCAGGAGCTTGAAAGGCTCTTCAATTTGTGAGGAAAAAGCAGATGTCTAATCTGTTTCACAACAGAATAAGAGGAGCCTGCTGGAGTCCAACGGTTCTATGCCAGATCTTGCTGATGTCCACATGAGCTATACTTGGCATTTGAGTATTCCTTGAACAATTCTAGTGTCCTTTTATCTTGGGACCCTGTTTTTGTCACTGCTCTTGCAGCCTCTTCTGCCGTTGGCCACCAGGAAGGTATAAGAGAATTAGAAGGAGTCAGTGGAAAGTATGCTTCTTAGTCTCAATCTAAGCTGAATAAATAGCCTGTGGGAAGAAGAATTTAAAACTATGCTTTTGTTACTCAGCAGGTATTTTTTCCTTTTTTAGAGTACAGTGCTCCAAACTGGAGACAGTTCAAGCTGAGGCCTTGTGCCAAGTAGACAGGACTAATTGAACATCCCATCTCTGATATTCCTACTAATTCCCAAGAGTGAAATGTGACAAGAAAAGCAACATGTTGCCGTAGCAGTTTGTGATTCCCTGTTACCTCGGACAGTTCTGTGCATCTGACTTACTCCCAAATTCTAGTGATTTTCATTTGCATCCACTAGAAGCAAATGCGTGATACTTATACTCCCTCCAAAACTATCCTGCTTTCTGCTATATTTATGACATGTCCTATCTTGGTATTTAATTTTATTTACGCCGTGTTCCACCCATCAGATCTACTGGCAGGCAAATTCAGTCCAAAAAAGGTGGCCTTTTAGCTAGAGCTGCTGACTTTTAAATAAGGAATAGCAGGTTATTGAAGAGGTCAAAGTACTGAAGTTCCTTTTCCTGCCTCACATGAGGATATTGGCTGGACAAGGCTAGCTGGGTGGCAGTCTTTTGTGTGTGTACTCTAACAATGAGCTTGGTTGAGCCCACGTGTATTTATACACCCTTCTTTAGTCTGGAAGCTGGATACTGCTGTTCACCCAGTTACTGTTGCTGGAAAGGATTTCCCTAGGGAAAGAGTGGAAAGCAAAGCTGGTTCTGTGGTGACTCAGGCTCTCAGCAAAGCCTCTCATTCCCTCGTATCCTTTTAGGGGCATCTGCTTCCCCTGTGACCCTGCTGAGCACACGAAGCATGCTGTTTCTGCTGGAAGAAAATCACCAGTGGCAGGTGCAACCCCCCTTGGATGCAGATCGTGAGGCAGAAATGCCTTCTAGGAGCAACATCCAGTTGAAGGAGAAGCAGCCAATCAGCAGTATTAGCAATGTCATAACCTATCGCCTCTGTCCTTGTGACATCAAGCTGATGCTTTATGATGAGGTAACCAAGGGAAGGTCATGGGGCACACAAGATGCTAGGGGCTGGATTGTGCTCAAATCCTGTTCCTGCCAAGAGCGTTTTTGTCATCTCCCATCCTAACCCAGGGCTCTGCACCACAGAGCAGAGGGGGTGCAGCAATAGGCTGCTATACAAAAGTCATGCAGGGACGCTTTCATGGCTGGTAGCAGAGCAGGAGAAGGATATCGCTTAGAAACTGGGAGGAGCTGGCAGCTGTAGCAGCTCAGGGCTGATAAGCGCCTTTGGGGTGGGGCCCTGCTCATCCACCTCTCTCTCTTTCCTCCCTTACAGGTGCTGAAGGTGGAGAGCGCTTGGCACATCCGCACAGAGTGCCCTGAGCTCCTGGTAGAGCTGGTGGAGTGGATCCGCAGGCCCTGGGAAGAGATGTTTTCTATTGAGCTACGGAGAGCTGTGTACGAGGGACTGGAGTGAGCTTCCCAGCTGTAGGCAGGAAAGACCTGGAGTCACGAGTGCTGCTGTGCTGGCAGCAGTGCACAGATATGTCCCCTCCCGTCCGATCTTGCTGTCCCATGGTCTTTGCTTTCTACTCTAGTCTTGCCCCTGACCCTTTCTGGTGAGGAGGAGGGGAGCACACAGTGGTCTAGACTTTGCACAGTCACTCACCTGCACTGGGCTGACCGCGAAAGGAGGTGGTTGGAGATGACCCTTGTGATACTGTGTAAGCTACAGAGTTTTAACTTGGTGGTATTTGCTAGTCTCCTTCAGGATAATACGAAGTATTATTGAAGAGAGAAGCTGAACCAGAGAGTGTTCAACGGGCTGTGGTGTGACTCAGGCAAATCAGCAGGCCAGAGGCAGTTGGATGCTGTGGTTTTCCTAGCAGATGTATTTGCTGCCTTCCTAGCTGTCTCAGAACAGCTGCCAGTGTCTGCTGATGATTCTTTTCTTTTTCTTTCTCCCTCTTCTTTTATCCACAGCTTCCCAAAAGCTCCTACTTCAAACAGGAGCCTGACTGCACAAAGGGATAAGGCATATGTTGTACTCCTAACCCCACAGAGAGCCCTTACCTGCCTGCCTGGCAGGCTATGGCTCAGTCTGCTGCTGTAGTCCTTCACTGTCACTGGGGAGGGAGGGGAGCTGGGAGGCTCTGACCACAGAAGTGTGTTGCTCATTGCTTAGGAGGTCAGGACCCTCATGGACACTGGCAGGTAAAAGTGAAGCTTAGGCTTTTCTGAGCAGTCCAAAAGCAAGAATCTATTTTAACGTGAGTTTTACTATTTTCTATTGCAATAAAAAGGTTATATTTATTGAATTGCCACAGTTTCCTCGCCTCATCCTCTTGCATTGCTATGATGTCCTAGTAAGGTCTTGCATACTAGCTTCATCAGTTTCCAGGAGCCAGTTCTGGGGCTGGCAAGGGAACAAGGCCACAACCAACCCAGCTATACCATCTTCAGAGCCTTAGGAGAGTAGGAAGTTCAACTTTGTAGTAGTGTAAAGGCCACCCCACAGCACGCCGCTGGGTGCTTTCTTGGAATGTTTATTTTTAGACTTTCTCTTGTCACTTTGAGTAGCAGTTTCAGTTGCTGAAGGCCCACAGTGGCCAATATTTTTATCTAGCCTTCTATAGACTGGATTGACAAGATCTATAGTGTCTTGAGGCAGATGTCACAATGCATTCCACTTCGTCCCCTCTTCCTAAATGGGCATATGGCTGCTGCTCTCCGTTCCTTTGCAGTGATCTCAGACTGCGAATGGCAATGAGCTCAGTGGAAGCACTGCCAGCACACAGCACTTTGTCTGGGGGAAGGAGTCTCAGAGAGCAGCACCAAGTAATGACCAGTAAGGTTTTTCTGTCTTTGTCTTGCCATTTAAGGTGCCTGTACTAAGTATTATCTTCCCCTTCCATAACTGTGTTTTACATAAAGTACAAGAGTCAAAACTGGAGTTACCAGACCAGTCTTAGTCTCCTCTGTACACACCGATCCCTTGACACAGCTCCATCCCAGCTGGTGTTTTCCACCCTAATCAAGCTGCACCCCTGCTCTGCTGCACCTGGGTACGCGGTGAGGTACCTGACAAAGTCTGGATTGCCAGAACTAAAGGTTTCAGCTGTTTGCCTGCCCATGCCTGTTCTCAGGCTATTTTACTTACTTGCTCCTGCTCCTAGCCCTTTCTCTCTGCAGGTCCATCTCCTTGGCTCAGCACCAGCATGTTGCTTTTCACCCACTCCCTGGCTACTGCCAAAGAAAGCTCACAGGTACTGCTGTAACCCCTCTGCTGCCTCTTCATCAAGCACTCGCTTTGTTTTCCCTTAATCTGGTAACAACCAGGGCATACCCCCACTCCCTCTGTAGTTGCTCTCTGACCTTGAACATTCCTGTGGAGCTGGAACTAGTGATGGGGTAACTGGTCTCATTGTGCCAATGCAGTGTGTGCAGAAGCACACCTCAGTCATCAGTCTGGCTCTTTCACCACTTTCCTCTGTTTCTCCTTTCCAGCACCTGGGCTGTGAGAAGACAGAGCTTAGGAGCTGGTTGTCAGCTCTCTTAACTGGGAGAGCCCTATTTCTAGTGGATGTTTACCTCCAGCAGAACTTTCCTGCAGCAGCCACTTGCTGCCCTTTGCAGTCCTCTGCTGGAGTGTGCCTCTGGCTGTTATCAGGTCATTAAAGTGGCCGTGGAGCTGTCCTGTATCAGGACAAACAGTCCCTAATGGAGCCGTCTGCTCCCTGTCCCAGTGCCAGAAGCGCTGATTAGTAGGGGAAGAGTGGGAACAGGCTACACGTGGCACGGCTCTGAGCCAGGTGAGGCGATGGCTCAGGCTGTGCCCAGGCTAGGCAATCAGGCTCGTCTCCCAGCTGAGCAAACAGCTCGGTGGCTGCCCTGGGAGCAGCGGTTGTCCCACCAGAGCCTACCAGGTCAGGAAGGAGCCCACCACCGCCATTGGATGCCCTGAGGCCTGCTGGGGGCAGAAGGTGGGCTTCCCCCTGGCCTGGCAGGTCTGCTTATCCACACTCTCACCACGTTCCCCCTTTCTTCTGTCTCCCCCAACTGCGTGTTGTGTGCCTGTTCCAGTCCCAGGCTTTGTCCCGTGGCCTGCTCCCGGTCCTGCGGTCGGTGACGGCGCTCCCGCTTCCCCTCGCCCGGTTCTTACGCAGCAGCAGCTTCCCAGGGTTGCACAAGGCGGCTCTCCCGTCAAAGCCGGGGGCGGGAGGACGCGGTGCTCTGCCCGGGCTTCTACGGGGATCCCCAGGGAGGACGGACCCTCAGCCCCCGGGGATCCCCTGACCGGCCAGTCCTCCGGAGCCAATTTTAACAGCGCGGAAAGCCAGCGGCCGGCTCGGCGCCCCAAAGCCACAGCCACGCCGGCGGGGCCGGAGCGCACGGACATCGCGCCCCTTCCCCAACCCGGCGGCACCGCGCCCCGCCCGCCACTCCGGCCGTTGCTCGCACCGAGCAGAGAGGCCCCGCTCGGTGAGTCACCGGGGGCGGGCGAGAGCAACGTGAACACGGCGGGAAGCGGCGCGGCTCGCGGCGGGCCCGTAGGTGCGTACCGGCGGGCGGCGCGGGGCGGGGCGGCCCCGGGCCCCTTTGTTCGGCGGGAGGCGGCGGCGTAACGCCCCGCCGCTTTGTCCGCCGCGCCGCCGGCGGGAGCCGCTCGTCCCGGCGTGGGGTGAGTGGGGAGGGGGGAGCGCTGGGGCTGAGATCCGCCGGGTGCGGTGGGGTGCGGGGCCCCGGTGTTGGGGTTGGGGGTGGGGAGGGCTCGGGGCGCGGTTGGGTCAGGCTGGGGCGCGTGGTGCCGCTCGGCGCGTGGCGGCTCGGCCACCTGCCCCGAGTGGGAGCCTGTGTCACCGGCGTGCCCCGCGTCCCTCCCCGGGCAGCCTGAGTACCCCGGCCCGCCCCCGGCCCCGGGGCGCTGCGCCGCCGAGCGAGGAGCGGCTGCTGATACAAAGCGTCGTCCCTGCGGCGGGGCCCGGCGGCGGAGCAGGTGGCAGCGGCACCCCGCAGGGTGCTCAGCCCGGGGAGCGGGTTGGCCGAGGAGCGGCTTCGGGCGCCCGTTGCTCGGGGCTGGCGGAGTCCCGGTGCCGGCGCGCGCCCATCGCTGGTGCGAGGCTCGGAGCAGAACAATAGCGGCAGGAGAGATCTGTCGGGGCGGCCTGCGAAGCCGCCACCTGCCGCCCTCGCATCGGCCCCACGCCGGCGGCTGGGCTGTGCGCCGTCTCCCCGCGGATCTGGCCAGAAGCTGCTGTGCTTTCCCCGCAATTTCCTCCCGGACATCTGGCGTCAGCTGTAACTTTGTGCAATTCCCTGCCTGCCTCGTGCTGCCCCTTGCCGTCACCCTGGTCCCTCGTGCTCCACGTCCCTCGCCGTGCCCGAGCCACGGGGTGCGGCGTGGCCCTGGGACCAGGTGGCAGACGAGTGCCTGGCTCCACCGGGCTGTCCCCTCGCCCGCCGGAGCCGGCACTGCCCTGCTCCTGTGTTTACCCTTGCTGTGGTGACTCTTCCCCCAGATACATCCTGTCCAGGACGGGTGAGTGTCCCGGCTTTTCCCCTACTCCCCGCATCCTGGCTGGTGGCAGTAGGGGAGGAGGTGCTGAGGGCTGCTGGTGCCCTCATCTTTATGCTATACAGAGCCTGGGAGTCACCGGTGGGTAAGGGATGGGATGAAGGCACTGCGTGGGGGCTTCTGCTGCCTTTGGGGGGCTGGATGAGATGCACTGCTGCTTGGCCCATGGCTCATCGCCTGCCTTCCCACAGAGCTGAGCCAACTGCCTGGCCAGGATGAGCTGGAGCTTCCTGACGCGGCTCCTGGAGGAGATCAACAACCACTCGACCTTCGTGGGCAAGATCTGGCTCAGCGTCCTCATCATCTTCAGGATTGTGCTGACGGCTGTGGGGGGTGAGTCCATCTACTACGATGAGCAGAGCAAGTTCGTCTGCAACACGCAGCAGCCAGGCTGCGAGAACGTCTGCTACAACGCCTTCGCCCCACTCTCCCACGTCCGCTTCTGGATCTTCCACATCATCATGGTGGCCACCCCCTCGGTGCTCTACCTGGGATTTGCCATGCACCGCATTGCCCGCATGCCTGAGTCCTCACGGCGCCGGGTGCCGGCAACTCAGCGTGGCCGCATGCCAGTGGTGCGGCGTGGAGCCGGGCGGGACTACGAGGAGGCGGAGGACGATAATGAAGAGGATCCCATGATCTTCGAGGAGATTGAGGTGGAGAAGGAGAAGGGCACCGAGGGTGGCGAGAAGCACGATGGCCGGCGCCGCATCAAGCAGGACGGGCTGATGCGTGCCTATGTGCTACAGCTGCTGTGCCGCATGCTGCTGGAGTCGGCCTTCCTTTTCGGGCAGTACCTGCTGTTCCGCTTTAAGGTCAGCCCCTCCTACGTGTGCAGCCACAGCCCCTGCCCGCACATGGTCGACTGCTTCGTCTCACGCCCTACCGAGAAGACCATCTTCCTGCTCATCATGTATGCCGTCAGTGGGCTCTGCCTCTTCCTCAACATCTGCGAGCTCTTGCACCTGGGCGTGGGGCGCATCCGCGATGCGCTGAGCCAGCCCAACAGCCCACCCTCCAGCAGCCCCGCACCGCACTACGCCAAGAAGCCCCCCAGTGCACCGCCCACCTACCACTCCCTGAAGAAGGAGCCACTGAAAGCCCCTCTGCCTGATGGCAAGCTGGACTACCGGGAGAACCTGGCCAACTCGGCCGCCGAGCGCTTCGCCCTGGCTGGCGCTCCCCGCGAGCACGAGCTGGAGCGGCTGCGTGAGCACCTGCGCTTGGCCCAGGAGCACCTAGAGATGGCCTTCCACCTGCAGCCACCCCCCCGGGCTCCCAGCCCCACACGCAGCAGCAGCCCTGAGGGCAATGGCATGGCTGCCGAGCAGAACCGCCTCAACCTGGCGCACGAGAAGGGTGGCAGCTGCGAGCGCAGCACAGGTGAGCCTGGGGGACCAAGTTCTGGTGGGTGGGGCAGGGTGATGGGGCACCCCAGGATGGCCGCTGATCTGCATCTTGTTCCCACAGGGCTGTGAGTGACGAGGACGGACAGTGTGGGACAGTGGTGTGACACAGCATGAGACGACGACATGTATCTACCTGGTGGGGCTGCCCAGGGTGTCTCCATCCCGGTGGGCAGCGATGGGGACAGGGGCTTGGGGAACCTTCCTTCACTGTTCTTAATTTTTTTTTTAAAAAAAAGGAATATCTTATTTTTGTACATTTTTATAAACTCAGCAGCGTGCACCCTGGCATTTTTATACACCCCTCCTGATTCCCACTCTGAGCCCGCACCTCCCCTCCCTGTCTCCTGTTGTATCCCCACGTCCCTCCCCCCACTCTCTGCCCGCAGCACCTCCAATTCGTGCCTCCCCTGCACTCTCTGTGCACGTGCAGGTCACGACAGCAGTAAGGATGCTCACACCAGGTCTGGCTGGTGAGGCTGCACCATGGGCTGGCACTGAGCCTGAAGTAGAGGTGACAGCAGGGACCTGTGAGAGATGTATCCCAGTGGCACCACTGCGGGGGGTGGTGCCCATACAGTGAGCACATGTGGGCTACACAGGGCCCCTCTTGGCTCCTCTTTGGCTTCCCCCTCTCCAGGCTGCTCTTTTTAGGGAGCATAGGGGTTTGTGTTTGTCCTTCTGATCTCCTCCATTTCCCTGCCAGCAACTCTGCTTGGGCTTTGGACCAAAGCTGATCCTCTCCAGCCTGGTGTGGGGCTGGGAGCCCTGTGTGCAGTGTCCAGAGTGGGTTGGTGGGAGACACTCGGGCATTCTGATCATCTCATGGGTCACGCAGTGAATTTTGTAGCATTGTTTTGTACTTGGGTAATTGTGACTTTTTTTTTCCCTTTTTTTTTAATTTTTTTTTTTTCTAATTATCTATATTCAGTAAAGCCTGGAGACGTTTTGTACTGAACTTCTGCATCCGGTTCTCTGGGAGGAAGGGGTGGGGAAGGGGATCCTGCGCAGATGGGCTGGGGCGGGCCAGCTGCTTGCGTGGGGCTGGCAGTGGTGGGATGGGGACGCCCTGCTTGGCCCAGGGTGACTCAGTCATTCCAACTGTGCGGAGGCGGCTTCGGCCAAAGGCAGCCACTGCTGGCGTGGCGGGAGTAGGATTGCTCCAATTGCCACATTCCTGCGCAGCTGTGGATTCAGCAGGGCTTCCCTGTGCTCCCCATCCCGATGCAGCTGGAGGGACATATGCTGCCCTCTGGCTCTCCCCTTGCTCAGGGATGGATCAGCCTTGGCGCTTCCACAAGTCCCCTCCCTGGGATGCTGGGGCAGAGCTGGGCCCCTTGCAGAGCACCGTGCTATGCTGCTGAATGCCCACAGCTCACCCTTCCCCTCCCTCCTCCACCCCAAAGCCTCTGGGTTTGCACCCCGCTCCGTAACTGCACTGCCTCTGAGGCTGTTCCTGATGGAAACTGGTGTTCTAAGATTGCTTTTGTAAAGAAAGAAGGTTTATTTATCTTGCCTTACTGATCTTGCCAACAGGTTCTGCTGTTGTTTGCGTGCCACCAGCCTCACCACCTGTGTGAGCCCCAGAGTGGACGTGCCCTGGCACATCCATCTGTCCCTGTCCTGTCTCTAGGAGCAGGGGGAGGTGGCTGTGCGCTGCAGCTTGTCTTTCTTGTGGGAGGAGATATGTAGGTGAGCTGGCTCCAGGCACTGGGCTGCCATTGCAGGGCACAGCTAGCGTGCTGTGGGCTGGGCACAGCCCTGGGGCAGGGCTGCAGCACCCACACAGCCTGGAACCATGAAACCCTGGCTGTCACAGGGAGGGTGGTGCCACCAAAACTTCCACCTGGGTCCCTCTCCCTGCCCTGGGCTGCGCAGTGCCCATGTGAGTGACTCCTCCATCTGTGGGATGGGCTCATCATCTGGCACTGGGGCAGTGCAGAGGCAGCAGGGCGACCCACACGGATTCAGCCATGCTGTGCCAGCCGCTAGACACAGGTGCAGTCCTGTGCCAGGATGTTGGGCACCGTCTCGTACTTGAAGGAGTAGCCACCATCAGAGGTGGTGCGGACGCGCAGCGAGCGCATGGTGCCAGGCAGAGCGGCGCAGCACAGCTGCACACCCAGCCGGTGGCTCAGCCCATGGCCTTCGGCACAGCTCCCGTGGCAGTAGTGGAAAACGAAGCTGCTGGGGTGCACAATCCAATTGTCCCAGCCCAGCTCCTCGAAGGAGATGTTGAGGGACGCCCGGCGGCAGTTGGTGTGGGCAGCCACATCCTCTGATGGGCGCTGCAGCAGGCTGAGTGCAGCCGGTGACCAAGGCACAGCGGAGCGGCGAGCCCGTCCAGCTGCCTTGGCACGGGTGGTGGCTACCAGGAAGGGCATCTTGTCCCCGTCGGCCAGGCAGGGGCAGCTGGGGCAGCGCACCAGGAGCACGAAGAGCGGCTGTGCCAGCTGGGGCAGCGCGTCAGGGCCAAAGTCAAACACCGTCCAGTGCTCTGGTGTCTGTGATGCTGTGGCCATCACCGGCACCCTGCCCTGCAGTGAGAGGGTCAGCACAGCGGGAGCCGAATGGTTGGTAGCAGCTGAGGGGCCGCTGTAGAACCAGAGCTGGGCGGATGTCAGTGTGCGGCTCAGGGCGTGCTCTGAGGGCTGGAAGAGGTAAGTGAAGATGCCTTCTTCCTCCAGCAGCTTATCTGGCTGTGTGGGCTCGCACGGCACATCTGTGGGGAAAGAGTGGCTCAGGGTGCCATGCCCCAGTGTGGGGATAGGGTATGGGGGGGCACCCGCAGGTGCTGTGGAGGACATCTGTGGGCACAGGCAGGTTGTTCTGCTGCAGACACAGGGGAGCTGATGACATCCAGTGTCACATGGCACGTGCTGCTCTGTGTCCTGCAGCCAAACCCTGCAGCAGATCCAGCCTTGTGCAAGGCTCTGCCTGGCTCATGCTGCCAGCCAGGCACAGCTGCAGCGCCTGGCACCCCATGGCCTTGGGAAGAGGGGATTCAGCCACCTGCTTCGTATGGCCAGGGTGGGCTGAGCTGCCTAGTGAGGTCACCAAGCCCCTCCATACCCTGGGATGGTCTGGTGATGGTGTACCCATTCTACTGTGCCCTGCTGTGTCCTTCTGCACTCTGCTGCAACCCTGAGTATCCTGTTGCAACCTTAAGCATCCTACTGTGGCCCCATCCCTAGGCATCCCACTCCATCCTTCATCATCATACTCCTTCACTTAGCATCCCACTCCCAGCACCCTGCCCCATTCTCTACCATCCCACTCCAGTGTGCAGCTCTGCCCTCTCCTAAGCCCTCCCCATCTCCCTGTGTCCCCCTGTTCCACCTCTGGGCACTCTTCTATGTCACCTCCCTGCCACCTGGCCTTGCCACATCCCCATTGCCCTAAAGCAGCACCCAACTCACCCCCTGCATGCTCTCCATCCCACCAGGGCTCTCACCTGTGGAAGGGAAGAGAATCACCTGGGATGTGTCTTCCTGCTCTTCGGGTAGCACCTCCACCTCTTCAAGGACATCTCTACGATGCACTCTCCTCATGTCCTTTGGGGGCTCCTGCACAGCTGGGGGGCTCAGATGCTCCAGCACCCGTGCCCGCACCTTGGCCAGGACAAGCTGCCGGTCGGCACCAGCCCCGGTGCAGCTGCCCAGGGCACTGGCAGGCAGCACGGCAGGCAGCAGGTGCAGGAGGAGCAGCATGGCCGTGGGGCAGCTTGAGAGGCTCTGCCGTGGGCTCCTACTTGCCAGCCCAGCCTGTCTGCCCACTGCACTGCCCCTGGGGCAGGGTGGCATTGAGACGTATCTGACACTGACGCAAATGTCTGCTCGCCGTGAATATTATCTCTGGGCAGTGAGAGCACTGAGACGTCTGGAATGTGAGGACTGCAAGGACAGTGTGGTCTGGGGGGGGACGGCGCCCGGGCAGGGGGGTGGGTGGGGTGCATGCTGCTGGAGCAGTGAGTGCATGGGGCTGGGGGCAGGCAGGGATGGAAGGGGCATGGGGGCCTGCGGCTGGGTGCCTCCGTACTGGAGTCTGGGGGCCAGCAGGAGGCTGAGGGTGCACTTTGGGCAAAGCAATAATGTGGGAGGCACATGGCGGTGGCAGGCTGGGTGCCCTCATAGTGGGTAGGGATGGGACGCCCCAAGGATGCAAGGTTCAGAGCAGTGGCATTGCCACAGCAACTGGGCTGCTGGGAACACGAGGAAGGGTGGGAATAGGGAGCCTCTGCTTGGGGACAGGCCATGGCTGAGGACAGCATCAGAACCTCTGTTGGGACTTTGTGGTAGTTATGGGAGAAGGGTGTCACGCTGTCACTTGGGCTGGCTGGCTGCAGCATATCCCATCTCTATGCTGCGTGCCGTGCACAGCACGTTGCCATGGGTTGAACCCACACCCATCAGGAACAGGTCTGCTGCACCCCACTGCTGCTGTGCTGCCTGCCTGCTGGTGCTATACATAGGGCAGCCCTGCCCCGTCGAGGCACTGCATGGAGCAAGCTCAGTCTTATCACCCTGACGTGTCATCGGAGGGTATTTTTGGGGACAGCAGCTGCAGGCATTCCTACCGGTCAGTCCCTGCATGCTGACGCTGGAGAGCAGAGCTGGGCGAGCAGCAGAGTGGGGTGCTGGCACCAGGATCTGCAGGACAGAGGTAATGGTGTGAGGTGGGTGCCTGAGGCAGGAGATGGTGCTGGGCAGGGTGGTCGGTGGAGGGGGAAGCCAAGGAGGGGGCTGAGCCGTGGGGCTGTGTGTGCTGGTGAGGCTTGGGGGAGAACCTGACCCTGGCCCCTGGGGATGAGTTCTGTCCCACATTCCCCTTCAGCCCAGCCAGGGAATGTCTAGGTTTCTCTTTGTCCCTGCTCTCCCCGAGGGAGGGAGAGAAGTCTCTGTGCAACCCTGGCCACAGCACAGGCAGGGGCTGAGGCTTGCCCAAGAAAGGCTCTAAGCACAGAGCCCTACTGCTGCCCATAGTGCATGGGCATGGTGCATGGGTATCTGCAGCACTGGGCATGGAGGCGGTACCCTCTGAAAGCAGGACTTGTTCTCAATTTGTCCCTCTGCACCCTGTGGTGATGTCCTGGCCTTGGACATGCAGGGGCTGGAGTTGGGACCACACTCGGGCAGGACCCTTCTTCCCATGCACCCTGCTGAGCTGGGCAGGAAGCACCCGGATGCATCCAGATGCCTTCAGCCCCATGACAGCCCCTTATCAGCACCTGTGCACTGAGCCAGCCCAGATGCAGCAGGAATGCGGCTCTGCCACCACCCGATACTGCAGGAATGCCCCAGCGGGTGGGGAAGGGCCATGCTGGAACCCGTTCTTCCTCAGCCAACCCCATTCCCAGCACTGCAGGGATGCAGCGAGCCCCGTGCCCCATGGGAAGGTCCCACCTCCCAGCCCAGGCTTAATGCAGCATTGCTCTGGGTGGGATGCCTTGCACCGCAGCCTTATCCCACTCTCTGTCCTTAGGCTGAAGCTCCTGACTCTCCTCCTGCCCCAATCCCAGGGTGATGGAGAGCCACGGGGCAGCTCCCCGGTTCCTGGCCTACCCACGTGCCTTCACGGCACAAAGCGGCTCCGACGCCATGCTGAGGTGCCAGATTGCAGGTGACCCCCGGCCCAGCGTGCTCTGGGAGAAGGACACAGCCCCGATCCAGCCTACAGGCCGCTACTGCATGGAGGCCAAGGGGGATGTGTACAGCCTACGGGTGTCCTGCGTCACCCCACAGGATGGCGGCCTCTATGTTTGCAAGGCCAAGAACTGCATTGGTGAGACTTATGCTGCTGCCACGTTGCGAGTGGAGGCTGGTGAGCATCAGCAGGAGGAGGAGGAGGAAGGCCATGCTGGCAGCCGAGCTCCCACCTTCCTGGTGGGGCCCTCATCGGTGCGGGTGTGCCGTGGGGAGGACGTGACCTTCTCATGCCGAGTCTTGGGGCAACCCTGCC